GCAAAGAAATCTTGGGGTTGGCATGGGAGAGTGTATGTGAGTGAAAGAGAGATTCGGAGCATAAGTATTTAGCTGCACACATACACACACAGAAACACAACATTCGAAAGAAAAAATGCTATTTCCACAGATGCAAGTCAGTAATGTTCACTACTCCAACACTGTTTCAATTTAGAGGGAAAACATCATCTTATCAGACTAATCAGAATGTCAGTGTTGGAAAATATAAACTTAATTGTGTGAATGATATTTTCAAAATTAGTTGTGAAACTAAATTCACAAACGCACAAATAGGATGTATAATGAAACTAGAAGTGATTTTTCATCGAAGCTATAATCACTAGACTGCTAAATATTTCCAAGTCCGAGACAAACTTGTACGTCAAACAGTTTTCTGAATTACATATTGAAAGGGAAAAAAATCATACCTGCTCTTTCATACTCCCCCAAGTCACAAAAACATTCAGTAGCAGACTCGGCCCTTCCAATAGAATCAAAAATTTCAGCAGCCTCCCTAAGGACGGCGCAAAACATCTCAGGATTGGAAACACGCATACGGTCAGCAGCTACCTTAAGACCAGCAGCCTTGGCCCTTTTTTCCCACATTGTGTCTCCTGCTCTTTCAAAGCACATTGTTGCCATCTCATAGTTATTTTCCCAATAGAGCTGCATTGACACATAAAGGTTACACTTGTTAACATAAATCATACATGACAAAGAAAAGTAGGAAATGTCTCAAATGCATAGCAACGCCATTGATAAGAGAAAACCACAAGAAGAAAAATAGCAGTAAAGGAGCAGTGCTAGTGATATAGGGAAAGAGCAAGCAACCTTGATTCCCCGGGCCTTCCACTCCTCTGGACTGCTTGCAACTTGCATTGCTTGTACAAGTGAATCATCTAGCTTTCTTACTTGGACAAGGCACCTCTTCCTCCAATAGTCAAACATAGGCTTGGAAAATTCCTCTATATTCTCACAAATCCATAACCTTTGCCTTGTTCGAGTGATAGCAACATATAGTTGTTTCAGTTCAGAACACAAGATATTGTGTTTTGCATTACTGAAATTTGGAAAGGACTTAGAAATCGTAGAATCAAGTAAATTTTGGTATTTCATGAATTCGTATAGAACTCTCCACTGATTTCTCAAAGGTGACGAGCCAAAAAAGTTGTACAGCAATACATCCTACAAATGATATTCCAAGAGAAGCCAAAAAATGAAAATGTAAGTTAAGGGGAAAAAGGACAGAGCCTGAGCAAAGACATTAATAAATAAAGTAAAAGTATTTGACATGGCATAGCATTTAGCTATCCCTAATTTATGTATTAATTATTATGCCAAACCCACCTATCAATGGAATATGCAGTTTCAAAGGATCCATGGAAACAAATCATAGCAAGATTAATAATTAAAACAGGGTTGTCTCCCTGTCTCTTGTGGTTACATTATAGATTTTATGGAGAAAGGCACCATAAAAAATAAAACAAAAACTAAGGTTGCGTTTGGTAACGTTTTCATTTTTATGTTTTCAAAAAAAAAATAAACATAGAATCAGTTTTTGTCTTTTTCCATGGTAAAAAGTTGAAACAAAAAAGTTGTTTGTACTAAAATATGAAAATTAAAATAGAAAACATATTTGGCAACCACTTCAATTTATATCATATTTTAGTAGCTTTATATTACTTCCCGGGTAAAGAAATTAAAATTCGTTATCCAAATACATCTATCAGCTCAGCAAAAATATTACAAGAAACAAAATACTAGAATCACATAAGTTCAACATACTACCCAATACTACCCAATACATACCATAACAAGTTACTATCACTTAATCAAAACCCCAATAATTAGTACAAATACTAAGAAGAGCAGTGCACAATACAAGATCTAATAAAAATCACAACAAATGAGCATAAAAATAGTGATTCATTTCTTCCCTCTCCATCCCGAATGGGTATGGGGAATGACAGGACCACAACAAGTGCACAATACAAGATCAAATATGTGCCATTGGACTACTCCTGTTTCAATTATATTAACAACAAAAATTAGAGCATATTTTTAATGTAACATTTCAAATAAAACAATAATCTAATAGCATCTCAATACACAAACCAAGAAGGATCTACAAAACATAGATGCACATACACACACACATTCACACAAAATAGCTCAGAACATAGATGCACATACACAAACCGAACCAAGATAATAGCAAACCAAGGATCTACAGAACATAGCAAACCATGGATCTGAACACACACATTCACACAAGATCCACTAACGCACACACACAAGCAGAAGCACACACACATAGACATATATATATATATATATGTTAAACTCAATAGCAAAACAAAATCAAAATGAAGGACCCTATATCTACAAAAATAAATACTACATCTGCAAAAATAAACTCTAGATTCGAAAAAATAAACCCTAGATCTGCAAAATAGAGGTCGAAGAAGGAGCATTTAATAAACAAGGGTGAGACTTTGCAACTACTGGACTTCAATCAGCTACCGCTGGTTTGCCGAATAGTTCTTTGTTGTTTGCTGGAGAGGGCATTGCTGAGGACACAGACACAAACGTTCGAGATTGAGAGAGAGGGAGAGAGAGAGTAATGTGTATGTAAGGGCCTACATTGTGTATTTGAGTAATGTGTATGTAATACAGATTGATTACTTTCAATAAACATATTTTTCCTCTTTCATTGATAAACATTAACAGTATCACCGCATCGTATTGTATTCATACCATATTCGTATCCGTATCTATGCTTTCTAAGTTTTGATCAATGTGAAGTTTGTAGGATGTAGGTTAAATTTTAGGTAAAGCGAGCTTGAACATACCTAGATTTTGAAAACCAGAAAATGACGCGTGACCAAGAGACACTCAGGTAGTTATCCTCTTTATAGAAATAAGTGATAAGTAAATACAAATAACAAAATAAGAATAAACTCGCTGATTGAGATAACTAGAAAAAAACTAACAATCACCTGAAACTCGAGGCCCTTGCACTCCAATATAGTCAAAACAAGAGCTTGCTTCCCAATATAATCAGATATTTCGATCCTGGCAGAGTCATCACGTACTAATATGACCTGCTCAGCACCAAAGCGAACAATCTTCCCATCAACATTTCCACAGTTTCCAAAAATAGTTACAATTGCATTCTCTTCATTGCCAGGCTCAAGTAAAATTGGAGCTTCGCCATCTATAAGACTAGTCTCAGGTTTCAAAATATCAATAGAATGTTGAAAGAAGTGGTAAAGAAGATCAATTACGCTCTGAGCTAATTTAAGCACACCAGCATGGGTTCGAAAGTTCTGCCTCAGATTAAAAATTTTTGATACCAGTCCTTTTTCTTTTCTTCCGGTAGATCCATCACTTCCTGATTGCAAAATAAAATAATTATAGAACAGAGACCGTATATCCTCAAACCTAAAATCTATCCCTCTTGCAATAGTCTGTGCTGTATCACCAGAAAAAACAAAGCCCTCTTCAATATTTCTACAGATATATTTGAAAAGAGCAATTTGTTTTATGGTAAGGTCTTGCACCTCGTCAATATATACAAAATCCATTTTGTCACCCTCCAATTTTTCATTTTTCAGCCTGTGATGAAGGTCAATTACTAGATCAGCCAAATCAAAATCACCACGTTTGGTCTTCATTTTTTCATAATCTTGAAAAATATTATATATGCAGTCCCTCTTCTGCACGCTCAAAGAGGACACTCGACCCTCGAACAATGAAACATACTTTGCGCGACTGAGTTTATGATCAAGGGCCTCCCCTGCTCGCACGCCTCCTTTTATATGGGAAGTTATTTGAGTAAACACTTGAGACGGATCAAGCTCCTTTGTCAGTTGGGTGTTGAAATGGGGCCAATAAAGTGAACAGAACCTGTTATAGTTAACTTCCTTCGTTCTTATAAATGTTTGCAATGCAACCGATCTTGAACTTCTACTTTTATCACAAGAATTATCCCGTAAAACTTGGAATCGATCAAAGTATGAATTACCCAATGTTCCATCCAGCATCATTATGAACTTATGAAATGTAATAACGAGGGGGTACTCTTTGGCAGGAATGTCGACAAGAGAATCCGGGATATCTTTAAATTGTGACACATCATCGATATCAATCAAACTGATTTCTGATGAATAACTCCCACCACGAGCAAAGCTGTGGAAATAACCAGGCTTATAGTTAGAAACATAAAAAATAAATGTAAAATCGTAAAGTAGCTGTAAATTTTTGTATAGATATATATACATACATATACAAGCAAATACGTGAATTTACAAGACAACTATCTGACTTTTCATATAATCCAAGTGTTTCAAAGATTTTATTTGGAGGAAGAGCAGTTAATAGTCAATGGAAAACAACCAGTAATTGCTAAGGTATAGGTCATCACCACCGATGGACCTTTGCTCCAATAGTACTCCTTGTCTTATAAAGACTTTGCCTTCTTAAGGTCAAGGATTCAAGTCCCCCTCCCCCTCCCCATCCCCAAAAAAAAAAAGAAAATATAGGTCATCACCCAATTTCATATATAACAGTTACAACCAAAGTATAGCAGAGACGGAATATTGCCAACACAACAATACATTAATTGATCGCACAACAATCAATTAATAGATCACACAACAATCCTTCTTAGTTAAATTGGTTGCACCCTTTCACTAACAGACATTCCATTACTTGGCAATTGACAAGACAGCTTTTTAGCTGGCACATGATGAACGGTGTCTGTCACTTTACAACAATGAATGATTTCCCCTTTCCCATTCAGTTACTATCGATTTTTATTATTGCAATATTATACATGACTAAAAAAAAAAACCCGTTCTTTCAAGACTCAGGGACATAATACATAATAACGAGTTATATAACCATAAATACTTGGCAAGTAATAGGTAGGTTTATAAAACACGGGCTCAGGGGATGAAGCACAAAATGTAGTCTATTTCCTCTCAGATTGTAGCAAATTTATGATAAACCTATAGCAAATATGTATCCAAAAAGAGGCCATGAACTTTCCGAATTCACGAGGAGGAAAAAACAGAAAATAATTATGAACACAATAGGTGTAAACAAACTGTGTAGCCTCCCCATTTTGAAATTAACTGGATAGCAAGCCGTTTTTGTTTTTGAATAAAAATAAGTGATGAAACCTAATATTTATAAAGGTCACTATTATTACCCCCACCATACTGGAGCTGTTCAGCATTATGGTTCTGCAATCGGAAAAGAATGTCAAAAAATGCCAATTGCAGTAATTCAACTTCATGTATACATTTGTTTCTTAGCTGCACTTTGTATTTTCACATTATTCTTAAGAGAAGTACCGAAATGGCCTCTACATCAATAATGGAATCACTGAAATGTTGGGATTTAATACGCTTAAAATCCACAAACAAATACACACAATCGAAGAACAAACCAAGAACATAAAGCAATAAGAAACAAGAAAGAACAAGACACACAAATTTTAAGTGGTTCGGGAATTTGCCTACGTCCACGAAGTTACAAGAATTTCACTATTGAGAGAGAGGAATACAGAGGACGGCTATACAATTCCAATCCAAATCCTATACACCAAAGTAGCGGTTTTTATATGTCCTACGCATCGGACTACAAAACAGGCCAAAAAAAAATTTCTCGGGGGCAAACCTATCGGCCCAAGCCTTCGCACCATGGACCAAGCCTCAAAAAATTTCCCATTAAAAACTACGCAACATTATTTCGGATCGGGTCATCATTCGAATCAACACACAAAACTAGACTCCACAAAGGTCCAACATGAAAGACATCAAACTAATGTTTGCAACAGCCAAATAAGTTGACTAGAGTGGTTTCAGTAAGTAAACTTTCAATAGAGAAGAACAATTATATAAAGGCAATCAAAACTGAAGAAAAAAATGGTTATTTGAATCTCAAGTACCCAAATCACCAAAAACCATCAAAGCCCAGGAAAAGTGAAGCCCACCATTTATTCTGAAGGTAATGATGTTCAACATTGAATTAAAAGGATTTTGTTCTAATATGGTCGTAGCAAGAGAAATCATTTTCCTAGAATACATTCCATGTAGTCTTCTCTGCAGTTATATAGACACCTATTAAAAGCTTCTGCTTTATTTCAAGTTATTTACATGCAATACTCAAAAAAGACTGTAACTCAGCATTGGTAATAGAACCCATACTACCAATCTGGGACTTCGAACGGACGAACCTAACCTTTGGCAATATTTTCACAATTTCATACTTAGCAACATGTAGTATAACATCCTCTTGTATTTGGTGGCCCAAATGTCACTCCAATTTCCACGCCTTGCTGCCGATCCAACTTCGATTATTTAGTTATGCAAGCATCCAAAGTGTAGAGTGTACAAATTCAGGCAAATGTAGCACATCAAATTATCCATTAGGACCAATATGATTGTCATATAACAGTGAATATGACCACATCCTAACAATATTTTTGGTCTGCTACACACAACATGTTCCACCTTGGTGCTCTACAAAATGCCATTTTTATGTCAATCCCCAACCTAGCATAACGTCTTTCATTATATCTACCTCTACCATTCACAATGCTTTTGACTGGAATGGGGTCACTGTTCCCACAACAGTGGATATGATCAATCATGCATAAATTACCTAATCACACAAATTGGCAAAACCAAATCAGGAGTTGACTAAATAATATGATGCAATCCCAGCAGCAATGAGAAAATAATTGGCCAGAAAAATAGAACAGGTTGCAACCACCCCACAGTTGAGTACTTAGCCCACCTTGTCAGCTGGTTAACATGCTGTTTGACAGCGTGGCACAGTTTTGGACTCACGGTCACGAAAAGCTGCCGCAAGGTAGTCTCTCGAATGCACTTGCTGACCTGCTTTGTCTGGCTCAAATGTGTAGCGGCACTGTTCTTACCTGCATGAAATCCCTCAGAGGCAATATAATGCTGTTGTTCCTTTTGGAATAATTTCATGGTCAAAACAGTAGTTTTCCCAGTTCCTGACCGACCAATTATAAAGGAGCTTCTACAGAATTGAATTATCCCCCGCTCCTCATCTGTTACTTCAAACGGGAGATCAAGTTCTTGGCCATCAAGGTCAGAAAGCAAGTGGTTCACAAAACCGGATGATAAGGAGTAGAACTTCATCAGCAACAAGCTTTCACTCACCTTTGAATTTTCAACATAGCTTCTACCATCTATGGCACCAGTACTTGAGTCATTGCCAAGTTCATTTTTACTCAGATCCTTAAACTGTACAATGTCATAAGAGGTCACCCAACTCATTGGAACTTCCAATTCCCTACGAACATCCAAACAAGCCGCATAAGGACTAAATTTTTGGGTTGAATTATATTGTCAATAATGTTACATAGGTTAAATACGCAGCAATTAGAATCCAGCATTTATCATCATTAGTTCAGATTTAATAGGGTACAAAAGAAACAACTAACCCCTCTAGAGATTTCTTCTTGCAGCGTCTGATAAAATCATCAGTGTACATAGCAAATATGCTATCAAGACGTCTCACCAGTTTTGGGATCTCCTCCAATGGCAATATATCCCAAACCTTTAAAACTTGTATGAACTTAGAGTCCTTCACAATGTCAATTGTGCAAACAACGTAAAGTCGTTCAACCTTGAATTGTTTCATGATCTGTGAAGAGCTTCCACAAACTGAGTGCACGTTCCTCTTAGGTCGCCAGCCGCTAGATAGCTTAATTAGAAGGCCCACGACTAACTTCTTCTGGCGAGAAGACTTAAGCATCTTAAATGATTTTCTGAAGTTATCACTGAAAACAACCTGGGGACACCCCATGGGTAAATAATTTACAAACAAGACTAAGTTCACACTCCAAAGTAAAGACTAAGGTTATTATAAATGTTCATAATATAGCTTCAAGCAACTAAAAGCTATGTACCTTCCACCTTGCACGAGTGAAAAGCATACTATCCCCATTTAGCAAATCATCGAGTTGATCGAGCTCTTTCTTCACATCTAATATAGTTTTGGCAATATTATCATCTTCATCAGCATTGAAGAAACATTGACGGTCCTTAGCATCACATACTAACACTTCCCAAATTGATTCACTCTTAATTAGTGTCTTTTCGTCTCCCAGAACCCAGAGACAGTGCCTAGAAACAATTAAAAGGCCAAAAACGACCATCACCTTCAACATAGAAATATTAAAAAGCAATCTTATGAGAGAATTATTTTCACTACATACCTGGCTCTTGTCAAAGCAACATTAGTTCTCTGAGGACTAGATATGAAACCAATAGATCCACCCCTATTAGACCTCACAGTTGATATTATTATAATATCTTCCTCTCCACCTTGAAATCCGTCAACAGACTTAACCTTCAACACAAATCCATCACAGTTCTCATACTTCCGCCCAAGCTTATCTTGGATTGCCACAACTTGAGCAGCGTAGGGTGATATTACACCGACGCTAATCTTCTTTTTCAAGGCATTCCATGCTGTACATTAATAAAAGAAATCAAATATGCAAACATGCTTCACTACTCTTATGTATTACAATTTATAGTTGTAATAAGTATACCACTCATGGGTATACTAACCTTTTTGATTTTATTGTGATACCTATATCCATGAGTTGTGATTGAGGGAAGGGTTAACAATTCTCTCCCTCCCCTCACACAATTCTTCCATTCATCATTCTTTCTAATAATTAACCCTAAACTTAACAACTTTCGAAAAGTTAAACTTAAACAACTTCTATTAGAGATATGTGTGAAAAAAAATTCCATTAAAATATTGGAGCAAGCAATATACCAACTAAAAAAAAAGTAAATTATACAAGACCCATTCTTCCAATATCCTTTTCCTTTCCTTTTCCCCACCACATTAATTCTTGAAAAAAAAAATGGAGTGAATGGAAACAAATGAATCATTTACCCTCATCTCATAATGTGAGCTAAAAGATAATATTAATCTCAACCATAATTGTCTAATCGCGTAGCATTTTTAAAAAATCATGTATCGTATACCGTAAGATACGTGCAATTTTAAATAATTATTAATAAAATATATATATACCTTTGTAAAAAAGTCATAGACTCATAATAACATATTATTTCATTAATATTCCACCAACTATTCAAGTTCCCAACACAGTTTAGTAATATCAAAATGCAAAAACCTCTAATTCAAACTTCTAACATTGACTTTAACTACTTGAATAACCTTAATATTAATTAAGAATTTTAAATTCAATTGAACAACATATTTTATTTTTTCTTTAAACCATAAATACTAAAACGACGTTGTTTCACTGACTAGTGATTTAAAAATAAGTCTTAGGTGGAACAATGTCATTTCAGCCCAAAAAACCAAAAAAAAATTAAAAAAAGAATTTTCACATATCATACATATCGGACGATACATATCGTATCGTACGATATGGTACAAAAATACGATACATATCGTTTTTTAGGTGTATTATGACGTATCGTACGATACGTATCACAACAATTCTTGTACCTTTGTCCCTAAATACCAATAATGTCAAAATTTACAAATCAGCCGAATCAAAATGCTGCTAAAAATCCACAAAATTATGAGACAAACACCAGAAACCAATTTGTAATAAAAAATATCAATCAGACCCACTTGACATACCTTTGTATAGACTCTGCACTATCTTCACCACAATAGCTACCTCAACCATATTTCTATAACTATGCCCAACATCATCCAATTCTTCTCTACCACCAACAACATTTATAAATGAATAGGGACCAAACATTAGCCCAGGAAGATAATGCCTTTCATAGCGTTTACTCTTAACATTGGGTGCATCCAAGATCTGGTTCTGATAAAAGTTTGAATTTGGAAATATACCAATAGACGGATGCATTCTGTATTGCATATTAAGAAGGTACTTCGAATGACCCAATGAACTTAATCTTGCAAATAAGCTTCTCCCAAATCCAGCTTCATCAGAAACCTATTATTATGTACGAATATATTTTAATATGCCAACAATGCATTGGAAATCAGAGGCACAAAATCTCAATAAAGGTCGTAGTGAGATGATTAAGTAGCATTGCGCTTACCTTGCTAGTAACTGTTGCTGGTAATTGACACTCATCCCCAATGAGAATAGCATGGCTTATACCTGGGAGTTGAAGGGGTATGATTGATTCACACTCTTTCAGCTGTGCAGCTTCATCAATGACTAACAAGCTGAGTGGATTCATATCCATTAAGTGCAGGTTATATGAACTAGAAGTAGTGCAGAAAATTAAGGAAGCTTTTTGAAAACAAAATGCCTTCATTGAACCTTTGTCCATCACACTTGGAAGGCCAAGTTCTTCAAGAGAATGTTGAAGAGTTTTTAGAACAGAGAGGCACAAGTTTCTCAAGCATGACACAGATGATATATCCACAATTGACTCAAAAGAATCTTTAACTACTTGCTGGTGCGAAAATAGTCCCTCCAGTTCTTCTAAAACCACATTCTCTTCAAAAAATGTTTCCAAAGAATCAAGTAACCGAATAAGATCCACCATGAGTTGGAAATTCTGTTCTTTAATGAAGCTTCTAGGCAAATGAATACAGAATATATATAGACATGTCCTGAGGGATGATGCAATAGGTTTGAACCGGTCTCTTGCAAACTCAAGAAATGATCTAACTTTCACCTTTATTACTTCATCTTCATGATTGTGTTCTTTCGCTCTGATCAATTCATTTTCCACAAAAATACGGTACTGACAAACAAAATCTTCAAGAAAATCAATCATGGAAGATAAACAATGCCTCCAACCAGTCTGCGGGCTTATACACTCTGCGAGCCTTTCAACACGGTAGTCCAGATAGATCTCTTCAATGTCTGAACTAACTTTTGGCCAATCTTTATTCTCCAATAAAATTACATCTCCTAAAGAGCAAAATAAATCCCTTTTTTCAGATTCAGTTTCAAGTGACCCTCTCACCAGTTTTATCACCCGAGAGGCCACTTCCCTTATTGCCACATTGGTTGGGGCACAGATAAGTGTCTTGTACTTCATTTTTAAGAGGGTAACAAGCATCACACTTAAGATTTTTGTCTTCCCTGTTCCTGGGGCCCCCCATATAAGTTCCACAGAAGGCTTGTGGTTACACTCTAGTCCACGAAGACAAGCCAAGATTGCCTTAGTTTGAGATTCATTTAGTATGGACATATTTGTGCCAACTCTTTCAGCCATTTTGATGTCGCTAAGTACAGAACAAATATTGCACTTTTCTTCAACCTGTTTTCCGAAAAAAGAAAAAACATTATTACCTAGTAAATATTTACCATAGAGTTCAGTTTTGATATGTCGTACATAATAAACCTAGAAAAAAAAAAGGGAAAATGGGTAAAACGCACAGCACATGCTCATGACAAAATTAACTGAATTATTAGGTAAGATCATATGAAAAATAGAAAAGAAAAGAGAAACATGGAACTTAAATAAGCATTTGAAATGAAGAGAAGATCCAAGTCTGCATAGCCATGGTCACAAGGTACAAATGAAGAGAGAACTAACAACAACTATCTTCCAATGAAAGGCACCCTGTTATATCAATCCTCTAGCACTAGGAATTGAAAAGGATTTAGAATTTCATTTAATTCGCTAGTTGTTTTAATCTGTGAAATATGACACCATTGCATCCAACCTATAATTGATTTGTCACATTACTTACCTTTGAACGAGCGCACAGAACTTCCTCAATAATCTTCATATGTCTGAACATGTGCAATGAATTCCACATTCTTTTGTTAGCCGTTTCATTTATCAAAAAGACCACGAATAGAGACTTTTGCATCCTATCTTTAACGTCAATTTCTTTTAATGTTTTGACTTTAAAACTGGTCCATGTACCACTTTCTTCATTCTCGTCTTCTAAAAGATTAGTGACTGTTGCAAAATTCCACGTCCAACCTGCTCGGTGTAAATCGGACACAGTTGCAGGATGTGCATCTGAAAAGATAAGGATATCACCTGGCAACATTCTGTAAGGCTCCTCACTGTGATCACTAAATCTGTTTTTCCACTGATCAATTTTAACATCATATAGTAATGTCCCATATGGTTTGGCCACGTCAAGAGAGATCACTTCTCCAAAAGGTGCCTTGTGTATAACCTCCATACTGGAAGCAAGTTCTGCTCGTGTGTCTTCCAGTAAAGGATAAACAAATGAACCAAGATATTGTTCCACTGACTGAAAGGATTTCGAAATTTTCTCCACCTAAACACAATGCAACATCATTTGAATCCACAAGATATTATAAACTAAATTCCTCCGTAATACGAACAAGTAAACATTATATTTTGCATTGAGAAGACTTAAAAAAAAGCTGTCCTATGGAATAAAAAACAATAAAGCACAAGGGAGCTTTTTTTTCAAGTGGTCACTGCCGACTCCACATATACATAGATATATGATGCAACTAAACTTGTTAACAAACATCCTAGTCAATGAAGCCAGCTATTGCAAGTTAAAAGCTACTTCTAACTCAAGTGAGGACCTAGACAGTTTGTAATTAGTAGTTATGGCTACTGTACCATAAATAATCACAAGCAGCAGCCATAAATGCCCAATCTACTATTATAATTTCCCTCATGTTATAAGCTTCTGAATGTCCCCTGTCCAGTCATGCACAGCAGCACATGAATTTAAAATGCTACGTTTTTATTCCACAAGGGTTATTTTCCCTATATATGGTACACCCATTTCAAGAATATGTGGAACACAGAAGTGTCTGATGTGGAACGTATGAACAGGAAAGGGCAAATTTGGGATTTTGCAGAGAGCTTGCTTAGACTCCTGTTCCATCATGCCTTAGGTTAAATTCAGTCTTGTTACTTGTTTTAGGTTTTGACCTATTGAAAATATTTTACATTTTTCAGTATGGTTGAGTCGAGTGTTTTTGGCCTTTTTAACAACTGCTAGACATAGGTCTGAGCTAGCCATAGACCACAGGTCATATTGTTGTTCTATGTGACCCTTGACATGCATAGAATAGTTTAGAGTCAAAGACTCATCCATTTCNTGAACATGTGCAATGAATTCCACATTCTTTTGTTAGCCGTTTCATTTATCAAAAAGACCACGAATAGAGACTTTTGCATCCTATCTTTAACGTCAATTTCTTTTAATGTTTTGACTTTAAAACTGGTCCATGTACCACTTTCTTCATTCTCGTCTTCTAAAAGATTAGTGACTGTTGCAAAATTCCACGTCCAACCTGCTCGGTGTAAATCGGACACAGTTGCAGGATGTGCATCTGAAAAGATAAGGATATCACCTGGCAACATTCTGTAAGGCTCCTCACTGTGATCACTAAATCTGTTTTTCCACTGATCAATTTTAACATCATATAGTAATGTCCCATATGGTTTGGCCACGTCAAGAGAGATCACTTCTCCAAAAGGTGCCTTGTGTATAACCTCCATACTGGAAGCAAGTTCTGCTCGTGTGTCTTCCAGTAAAGGATAAACAAATGAACCAAGATATTGTTCCACTGACTGAAAGGATTTCGAAATTTTCTCCACCTAAACACAATGCAACATCATTTGAATCCACAAGATATTATAAACTAAATTCCTCCGTAATACGAACAAGTAAACATTATATTTTGCATTGAGAAGACTTAAAAAAAAGCTGTCCTATGGAATAAAAAACAATAAAGCACAAGGGAGCTTTTTTTTCAAGTGGTCACTGCCGACTCCACATATACATAGATATATGATGCAACTAAACTTGTTAACAAACATCCTAGTCAATGAAGCCAGCTATTGCAAGTTAAAAGCTACTTCTAACTCAAGTGAGGACCTAGACAGTTTGTAATTAGTAGTTATGGCTACTGTACCATAAATAATCACAAGCAGCAGCCATAAATGCCCAATCTACTATTATAATTTCCCTCATGTTATAAGCTTCTGAATGTCCCCTGTCCAGTCATGCACAGCAGCACATGAATTTAAAATGCTACGTTTTTATTCCACAAGGGTTATTTTCCCTATATATGGTACACCCATTTCAAGAATATGTGGAACACAGAAGTGTCTGATGTGGAACGTATGAACAGGAAAGGGCAAATTTGGGATTTTGCAGAGAGCTTGCTTAGACTCCTGTTCCATCATGCCTTAGGTTAAATTCAGTCTTGTTACTTGTTTTAGGTTTTGACCTATTGAAAATATTTTACATTTTTCAGTATGGTTGAGTCGAGTGTTTTTGGCCTTTTTAACAACTGCTAGACATAGGTCTGAGCTAGCCATAGACCACAGGTCATATTGTTGTTCTATGTGACCCTTGACATGCATAGAATAGTTTAGAGTCAAAGACTCATCCATTTCCTAGTTATTGAATCATAATCCAATCAGAAGTAGGAGAATTCCATAACAGATTATGCATGTATTCTTTTGAAGCTTTTGCTTAATGCTTCATGCAACCTATCCTGAGGGTAACTCCTGAGAATGCTAAGTGGGATCGTCAAATATTCTTCTTTAGGATTCTATTGTTTTTCTTCTTCTTTCTGCACATCAATACCAGCACCCAAACCTTCCAAAGCTTGAATAATCCAAAACTCAGTTTTAGCACCAATAGCTAAAAAAAACAAAACATTGTTATCAGGTTACCCTTCACAGCCCCAAAACAGGTCCAATTCCCTTAAGATGTCATGGTAGCATTTATCAAACTGTGCTGCAATGGCTTTGGTTTTCAGCATTAAGTTTATACCGCAAACTTAAAATCTTTCTGCCCTAAAACTCCAAACAAATTCCCAATTCTGAAAACTGTGCAGTCATTTTGTTTTAAAATCATCCATAATCAGCCCCTAAAGACTTTTTCTTCCACTACCCAACAGGTACTTTTGATCAAAACTTGTAAGCAAGTATTTCTTACACTTGTCCTACATCAATATCTAGACACGAGCCATTATAATGATTTCCAGTAATTTTCCTTTATAGATTAAGTCCTAAACAAATATTTGAGAGTTTTGTCATTCATTCAGCTTATATCTAGTGCAATCGATGTTCAGACATCCAAATTCTTTCATTCTAGATTTTTACAAGGCTAGTACAAGGACAATAACTCTTTTCTAATGTTACCGGCTTGATGTTGCTCTTTCTTGAAGCCTCTAATTAGACTAAAAATGCAAGTTGTTTGATACAGCATGCAGTTCTCATGGTATTAATTCTTGACTAAAATGGCAGGTAAAATTTATCAGTCGTTCTGCTGAAAAAGGATTTCAATTCAATTATCTAACTAAATCCCCTCCATGGATGTATAACGCATGATTTCCCAAGGACAACTTTTCAATATTAGACCACTAGAAAAGTTCTCCACATGATACCAGTGAAAGCCATCCACATTTGCCGTCCAATTATGACTACACATTTAAATATACAAGTAGTAGCCGAGCATGTCACCAAACATTTAAAGATACAGAATTGCAACATATTCATCTACACATCCTTGAATCATATCCTTGAATCAAACAGTTGCCATATAGAGCTCTATGCTCAAGCATAAAATATTTATTTTCGAGACCATTACTTTAGCATGAGCTAAATGTTTGACAAAATAACATAGACACTGTATCATAATAAATCCACATTCCATGTGACATCTGTTATTTAGCAACCTAGGACAAAAGAACATTTAGTTTTTCCACAACAAGGAGATAAAACCAAGTTGGTATAGAGAAAAGAACATTCAGTATAACCTTTAGAAAATCAAGCACTGGTTCCCCTCCTATTTGACATATATAGATGTTAGGCATTAGTTAATCAAATGTGGAACTGGCCTCAGGGCCGGAGCCAGCATTTTGTTTCAGTGGGGGCAACCTAAAATTTTTAAATTTAATTATAAATGCAACATTGTTTTCATCAAAAGTATATTCTTAGTAAACGTTTTTTTAATGTATAGTTCCATCAAAAAAAAATGTCATTTAGATGCACCACTCATATATACGAGCAATGTACAAAAAAAGGGAACAAAAAAAAACTTCACATCAAAAGATCATTTGTTGCTTGAATAAGAGGCCGTTGTTATATTGTTGATTTTCTTACAAGAAATCTATCTATAACTGATTAAAAAATGAATTTATCTAATTAGATTCAAATTTAATAGTTCATAATGAATAACATAATGTACTATACATAATCAAATTATAATCCACAATAATATAATCCATAAATCCACAATACTTGTGTCTATTTGTTGCTAAAATTTTAGATCTAGTTCCTCAGTATTTGGGTCTTTTTGTATTGAATTTTTAATTGAAATAGACAAGTTTTTGGAGTGGAATTTGTGTGATTCATTGCAGCACATTTTTTGTCCCGTTCATGCTTTACTTTATGTTGAAATTAAAGTGATACACTACAACAACAATCAACAACTGTTTTGTTTTTCTTAAATCTTGCTCATGTGGTTTTGGTGAGATAATTGCTACTATATACCCCAATACCAACAACCAAGTAAATCGATTTGTTGATGAATATACCAAAACTTCCAAGAAATCAAAGGAAGGAAAAAAGTGAGGGCTGGTGAAGAAAGGTAGAGTTGCAAAGACTGAACTTCAAATGAAGAAGACGTCAAGTAAAGGCGTTAAATGAGTGAGCTGCCAAAATTATGTTTAATGGTTTTAAAATTACACTAACCCCACCTACACTTTATAAAAATTTTAGTGGAGGCAAGATTCAGAAATTTTTGAAATTTTCAAAAATTTATCTAGGTCCCAAAACTATTCAAAAATCCAGTCATACTAAATCCACCCTTGAGTGGCATGAATGCCACCCTAAAATCCCGACATTAGCAAAATCCTTAAAAATTTTAAACAATCACATCCTCAAAAATTTTAAGCACGCGTCGTGTCTTCACAACAAGAAAGTTAATTTCCAATGTATAAGATTAAAAACATGATGACGCCCAAGGACGGACCCCATCCCTTCCAGGTATATGCCTATCATTTTTCTCTTTGTACAAAACACTAAAAACTATAATATATGCACTCTTAGGAGTGGTCCAATGGTTAGGCATGTCCTTTGGTAACATAGATGTCTCAGGTTCAATCTCTTCCCACACTCTCTAAATGCTAGCCACTCTTATCCCTTTGGGGATATGCGCTATGCTAGCTCAAGCCACGGTGGTCAGCCACTGAGCTCAAAGGAGTAGTAGGTGCAAACCTATACTCCCTGCAGCAAAAAAATTGATAAGAATTGACACTCGGCCTTTTTTACCAACGGACGTTTAGTCTGATAGTACTCTTAAACTTGTAAAGACTTTAACTTCTTGAGGTCAAGAGTTTAACTTCCTCCCAAAATAAATAAATAATATGTGCTAAAAATATTGCCTTACACTAAGCATTCCATGGTTGAAGATAAGATTTGTATCTAAGAAAAAATCACTCAGCTTGCACAAAGAAAGATGAAAAAGAACATAACCAGGAGTATATACATCTGTATTTATATATCCTTGCATGATGACTTCTCCACTACCTCTTCCACTTTCTTTGACAAAACGGTTATGCATTTTAATTGCAATATATAAACTTCTAATTGGATTTTTTACGTCCATTGAAAAGAAAATCATACTTTTATTTTGAATAAAAAAAAAAATCATTCTCAACGTCCAAGATTTGTCAGTCACGTTGATGAAATTGTTTTAAGAATTGTTGGTCATATACCTGAAAATAGAAATTTTATTTTTTTAATTGTACACTTCATGTTGGTAACCAGGTGGAACCATCTTCAAATGTCCATGAGATCAACTCAATTTATCTTCATATGAATTATGTACATTGGAAGAAGTAGTATTATTCTTATTTAATGTAAGTACTGAAAGACTTATAGTGAAACTAATCAAAAATCATTTTGTGTATTAACAAATATGAATGTTCCTTTTGGAACTTATATTATTTCTATGAAAGGGATATTGATGTTAAACTTAGTCGTGAATTAATCAAAATAATCAATCATTGCAAGCATCTATCCCTGGCTTGTTTTTCTCCTTTCATTTACTATTGCACATCCCACCTACCACCATAGCTGCAACCTATCACCACCCACCACAACCATGCACCACTGCCACTACTACCGCCACCACCACCAACACCGCCCACAAACACCCACCACCGACACGCTCCAGCATCCCTCGCCACCACTATTACTGTCAATACCACACATCACCAACATGCACCACAAATCACTAGCGTCGCCGCCACCTGCCACGTCCACCACCATCGCCACTATCACCCTTACCACCACCACCACCCAACTGTGTGTGTGTATGGTCAGCTGAGTGTCTATTCGGGGATATATTAGTAATTGTGACAAATTAGTTTTTTTTTTTTTTTTGTTAAGTAACTAAACCAATTTTTTGGTGAAGTGATTTTTATTAAGACTTTTCTTTGAGAGTGCAAAATATGAGATCGGTCTTGAACGTTGAAAGTAACGCGATGTGACATAGAGGGAGTCAATAGGTCTTATTCACTCAAACGCAAAATTATGTCTAAATAAAACCTGACTCACAAAATTAAAAATTTGAACCCCCTTGTTGCTATGACCTTTAACCTAACATTGAATATGTATGTCCATTTTAATGCAAGTTTGTTTAACACAATTTACTATCACCAATCAGCTAAAATTTATGGAAAATTGACTCGTCCAATCAACACATGTGGAATTCAAACATTCATTCATTCGTGCATAAAGAAGGAATAAAAATCATAGGTATGTAAAAGCAAGCAATCACACAAAACAAATAATTTTTACATGAAAACCCTTTTGAGAAATACCACAAGACCAATCCTGATCCACCTAACCTAATCCACTAGTCTCAAACTTAAATTACAAGTTTAAAGACTTGTAACTCAACCAATTCCATGGCTAGAAGCTTTCTCCCTTGAATCTTCACACTGGAAATTCACCACATACTTCTTGACAACTACAAACTGGGATCCACAATCCTTTTCGAATCCTTCCGTCAATCCTTGAGTCTACTTCTTGGATCCTTTGTAGTGTAGATTTGATTGGTATTCAAAATACTCAATAATATATGTTCAAATTATTCATCAGAATTTTTGTTGATCTTGAAAGGATTGAGTTTTCATCTATTCAAGGGTGTTTTCTCTCTTGAAAGTATAGTTTTTCTGTAGTACCCGATAAATTCAAGACACGTGTCTACACTATAGAAGGATAAATGGCAGAAATCATCAATTAACATGCCAGAGCGGGCCCAACAGAGTCCAACAAGATTAGTACAGACAACAGTGCCGCGACAACACCACAGTGTCGCGATAACGTTCAAGTGTTGTGACAGCATTCTAGTATCACAAAGGTGTCCAATACCATAGGAAACATCAAGCAAAACAAAAGGGCTGAACACATCCTTATTACATCGACAGTGACAAAATGGATCCTTGACCAAGGACAAACGAAAGTGCCACCGCAGAGGTTTGGGGGCGCGACTCGTCTCTCCTACTGCTGAAACAAGGCACAAAACAGAAATTTCACAGCTAAAGGGATTGGTATCCTTAACCTATAGGACATTGTTGCTCGACTATCCCAGTGGACTAAGAGGAGGGATCCAATCTAGGGACAAGGTAGTATGACCTTCCTCAAGGGAGAACTGAACAACGAGGGCAGACAAGCATTTTCATCAATCTCAATCTTGGGCAAGGTCTCGAAAGTTTAGTCTGCTCGAGCAGACCTCCCAGTATATGGGTCACTGGATCATCATATGGGATAATGGGGCATGTTGAGTAATGGTTGAACGACCAAAACTATGAGGGTTTTCCTCTATTGGGCACTCCCTCCCACGGTGACCAGTTGTGGTCATTGACCTTAGGAGTCCCATTTTGCCTCGACTGAGACACCCACCCCTCTTTGGGGGCAATATCTGCATTACTTGCCCACTGCAAGACATTGATTACTATCTGGTATGAGATAGGCATCCTGGTTGGTAAGAGCATTTACCCTATGTCTAACTGGTTGGTCCCTCGATTAACAGGTAACTCGAGTTCTTTCCATCTCATCCGCTTATCCTATTTATCCCCTTGAATATCCTTGACATAGATACATGTGTCAGCCTCTTTTAACACCCCACCTACACTCTCTAAACCCTAGAGTCTCTCTATAACTCTCTTGTCCCATGTTTAGGTTATAGCAATCGTTCTCTTTATACAAGAAAAGAAATAAAACGCAGTTAAACGGGTTTGAAAACCTACTGGCTAAACATTGCTCAAGCCCTGTGAAGGGTGGACAAAGAGCGCTGACTGGTGGAATCCAAAACTACAATCAACATGGGAGCAATGCTCGAGTGTTGGCTAGCACCAGAGGATGCTGAAGACTGAAATTGAAATTCTATCCCC